TAGATGACTCTCTGTGTTTGATTATCGTCAACTCTGAAGGAATGCTGACATCCAGTGGCGACACCATGTTAGTGACATGCAGGTTCGGGATCATGTGTTCGGGTATAGTGACAATAGTTCAATTGGTTTTATTATCTCGAAACATCGACTTCGGTGGCTTGGACATGTCTTACAAATGTCCCAGAGAATTCCACGTCGTACATTATTTGCCGATGTTGGGACTGGTTGAAAAAAGCGGAGAGGTGGTCAGTGTATGACATGGTGTCGTTACTTGAAAGAAAATTGTATAGGACTGGTTTCTGTTGGTACTTCAAGATTCCCTGGTTAAGACCTTAGAGATGGTACAACACAGTGGCTAGAGACTTTATCAGACATGGCTCAGAATAGAAGCCAGTGGTAATCCTGCTGTAACTTCCCTTTACTGTCTATAAAAGTGAACATAACTTCTTTAACTAATTCTTTTCGGTTGTTTTTTCCTAACTGAACTATTTCTCCCATTATTATTATTATTATTATTATTTCACTCTCATACACTAATTTCTATTCATTGTTGTTCTTGTTTTTATCATACGCACCTTACATTCTCTATCTCTCAACAACTTCATTGTTATTGTGTGAAGCATATGTATTTGGCGGCCCCTTGTACGAATGTTTTTGTTCAAGTAAATAAATAAATTACACTAACTATCTTGCTCAACGAAGACCGCATAGAATTACTAAAAATTATGGATTAATTCAAACCGTCATATTGAATAAAATCAAATCAGCTTGGAAATGTGAAAATGACTAAAAGGAACTGTAAAAGTATTTTGACGAAACAGTTGATCCGATAGCTTTATCATTAGGATAAAAAGAAGGAAAATAAAAAAATACTCACACTAAAATTATTTTTAAAAAAGTCTTAAACTAAAGAAATATGTACGTAATAAAGGAAATTATGTTGTAACTCACTAAAGTTGACTATTAATACTACGTATCGCGAGGAATTTAGTTACACACTGCTGAACAAAACGCTTTACTGAAAAATTAAATTCGAGGTAAGTTAAGTCTAATTATTTATACCAGTTCTGTATAATGCGATGACCTAACAATGAATTGTAGCAATGGGTAAGTACATTCCCTTTTCAACGAACCATTTCTATTAATTTTAATACGATGATCTGTTAAGGGACCTGTACAATTTAAAGATAATTTTCGTCACAAACTGATATGATAGTCATGGAAGTGTAAAATACAAAGCATAATTAAAGCAAAAGATGCATATACTATGAAATAGTCTTCATGACACGTAAACGTACAACACTGGACACAAATTCTAACTACAACTTATTACCATCATATTTTAATAATATTTTAAGTAAGTGTAATATAGAACGACATCAAATTATGTATTTAGTAAAGTGGTAACTTATAATAGTCGATTATATAATAGTAGATTAAGTTCGAACGCTGCCCTACCTAACTAGGTTTGGGAAGCAAAGTGGGATGATTAGCTTTCATACAGTGCAGATGAAAATTGAATGTATAAATTTGTGGTTGATAAACAAGTTAATTAAAATATTTAGCGAAATTGTTTTCAAGCACATAATAATGATTAATATGATATCATGACAAATAAATATCAATTGCTTCCAATTTTCTCGTTTTGTTTATAAAACCAAATGAACTAGTTAAATAAATATACAAGTATTATAAACCATTTCTGAGAGTCTTTATCGACAGTGAGTAGTGTGCCAGTTGATCAATGATTTTAAAGTATTCTAGTCTTACGATAAAACAATTAAAAAACGTGAACATTTAGTGCATCGTAATACACCTCAAAACATATATATATATATATATATATATATATATATATATATATATATATATATATATACCGAGAAAGGACTAATGTTTCAAGTGACACGTGCCACAATGTTAGTCGTTTTTAAGACGAGATGACGCAATAAGAATTAGTCATCTAACATCTATTATTACAAATGATTATTATGAGTACATAAATAACAGAAATTCAGATACATCCAAACAGAAGTAAATGAGCGAATAAAGAGATTTTAATTGTTCATTAGAGTAAAAGTGTTGGTTTCTAATGTCTCCTCAGTTGATATTAGTGACATAAACTATAACTGTACTGAATTAATATCAATAGACCAATCAAATAAGAAATAATCCTGCAAATGGATTTGAGGTGAATTTCAGAAATCCTAGTCAACAGTCGCGATTAATGGAGTTTAACAATGTCGAGATCAAGACATTTATTGCCAATTTTACCGAATAATCACAGCGTTTTCACCGATTAACTGAAGTCGGAGAAATGTACCATCTAACCTCAACTCGGTGATCTTCTTTGGAACTACATCTGAATATCCTGTACTTGATCCTGTATAGAGTCGTAGATGTGCATCACTAAAGAATCACAAACTAGAACGAAACATTTACTGGATGCTCCTGGGTGTCCGGTAGTACTTCAGCTGATATATTTCAGTGCAGAAAACTAATTTCACAGCACTTGTACCTATACTACGAGAATACTATTGCATAATGAAATAAATAGCCTAACTCCATATAGATATTACAGTATAGCTGACAGATGTGTATTATTAGGATAAGTATATTCAATAAAATGCCATGATGAATTCCCAAGAATACATACTAATTGGAGAGGCCACAACTTCTTTACTAGGTTTTCATTAGCAGAGTTTAACTGGCTGAAATGCTGAATTTAATCTATGAAACAGCAGATCCTTAGTTAACATTATCAACATGTTTTGAAGCGATCTATTGAGGTAAATTAGAAAGATATTTTAAAACTAGGGAAGAGAGCAAAAACAGTGAGATTTAAATAGTCAAAGTGTTCGACAAGTAAGGTGTGCCAAACGGTAATGTGTTTGGAACTTTTAATCACAGTAACTATATATAATGCCTATGTACATCTCAAATGGAAAATGATATTCCAGCCGAATGAGAATAAGACAGAAAAACAGTGAAGTTAATAACAAAAACCCAGAATATCTTACGATGTAGGGTAATCATGTATCAAGAACTTAGCTAGAAGTTTACAATAATGGGAACCCTATAGTGAATCAACTTTCAAATACAATCAATAAAAAATAACGTTACTTATCAGTTTTTCATTTTCATAACCAATCATCTTATCAGCTCTGTTATCATTGGGCACCACACAGTCAAATCTTAATCAATCATTATATTAAGTGGATAATACAAACAGTCAGTCATCAACTTAGAGCCTAGCACGGATGTGTGTTGGCCCAATTCGCCATACCATATTAGCACAACAAGATGAAGTTAGCATCATGAATAGCAAAAGAGAACGAGATAATGCAGTAGCAACGATGAAAAGGAAGATTAAATACTCAGAATATAGTTCAAAACAAACAGAGTGGAAAGGTATTTATGAAGGAATACTAGAAGGTCGAGAGGTAGATAAATGAATCTGCGCCATTGTGAATTATCTTAAGTCATGTCACCTAGTCTCCAACTATTAATCCTGGTGCCCCCGAATGCCCTGGTACGGCCGAGAGTGGGGAGAGTCCATTCTCCCCCTCCCCATATTCTCTCACATGGCCATGCGTATATAGCCTCTGCCAGGGAAGTCCTACTCACTGCCTTCTCGCACCACGGGTGTTGTTTACGAAAATGAGAGGATGAAGAGCGAATGTCCGGCGCTTTGACCGTATCCCAAACCAATGGTGCACATGGGCTCCAGTATCCTAAAGGAACGAATGGCGTATGAACCAATCGTCGGTCACCGGCTACCATGGGACTACATCTCCTCACGATGCTTCACTACCTTGTGGGTAGGGCATTCAGGTCGAAGGCTCGGGGTGTGGCCCCCTAAGAAAACCACCTGCTTCGGTTTGGGCACCCGGGCAGTATCACAGCCCTCACACATATCAATTGAGATTTGTGTGGCGCATATGTATTTGGTGCCTCCTTGTACCAATATCTACGTGTTAAAATAGTAATAATAATAATCCTGGTGGTTATCTCGCGGACCTTAACAACCTATTAAAAATTACACACATTTATTTTAAAATTATCTAATGCTTGTGATAACCGAATACTTTGATCGTGTTTTTGTAGAATGTCAGTTAGAAAATCATCTCAATCTGTTTATCAGAAAGTGAATATATAAAGTCTTTATGATTGTAAACATGGGAACAAATGCAAAGAAAATCTACCCTGAAAATGCACTAATGAACTAAAGTAACGTCATAAGAATAGTGCTAACTACCCAAATCGGATAAAGACTGGATAATAACACTTTTGATTTATAAGAAAGAAGACATTTGTATATAAACAATCTTCCGTAAAAACTACGAAACACTGCTGAATCATCTTAAAAATGTTTGGTGTTTTGTTTACTATCTACTTGGTAAATATGAACGCAGCGATTTTATGTAAAGCTCAGAAAAAAACAATTTGAAAATGAGAAAAATAAGTAAATCTACAAGGAACGTAAAGTCTGTCTTATTTGCATTGAACACTTAAAACAATTACCATGAAAGCGTAATCCAATTTGGAAAACAATAATTATGGGATGGAATCTTATTAAAAGCTACTCATATGAAGTGCAAAACTAACGCAATTACCGAATACCTTAGTCACTTAGTAGAACTATATTTATAATGATCTTTACAGTTTTAGTCAATTATTCTTCACAAAATAACCAGATATTATCTAGACATTGTAATACCTTTTTAATCTATAGATTACATGTTATCTATGAAAACCTAAATAGAATATTATGATTAAACTCACTCAAACGGAATAATATCGTGTATCGATACAGTAGCTTGATATGTCATAAATAAGCTATACGTTTGTTAACGCGTTTGGAGTTTAAAAATCACTGCTTTCAAAGTGCACGGTGAGATAATACGATACCAAATATAATAATACTTTGAAAGATAATTAATATCCGTTAATACAATTTATGCAAATATATTGAGATGCTAGGAAATTATTTCACTTACTTTTATTAAAACTTTTGGTAGGAATGGTATTGCCTCCATTACATACTTCTGGTGGAGTGCCCGATTCAGGTTGACGGCGAGTTATAGCCAATTCTTGGTGGAGGTCTGTGACAAGGATTGGAAAAATATAAGTGAATTGGCTAAAAATATTATTAAAAACACTCCGGACACTCATCACTACAGAAGAATACGGGTAGTAGTGTTAACATTCATATATTAAGTGACATACATTTTAACACAAGAAGTCGTACGTGATTAACGAACTTCACTAGTTTCATTAACTAAATTTCTTAATATTCCGCTCACAATAAGTATAGTTTGTAGCTTAAGACGCAACATTGTAACGTACGTGGTGAACTGTTTCGTCAATTTTCTTTACATCCACAAAATGCCTCAAGAATTAACAATGTATTTTCAGTTCACTTGAATTCACTTTTAAAACTTGGTTCCCGAGGCATTAGCACTTACACAGAGCAGATACTTCCAACATTTAAATATCCTGCCACCTTTGTTTTTTGTTAAGAAACATAGGCTTTTAGAAAGTGGCCTGTCAAAAAATCCATATTGCTTTTTTATTGTTTTGACAGCGAAAAAGTAGTTAAGAGTAAAAAAGGAACTACCTTAATTAATTCAAGTAGACAGTCGAATGTAACAAACAAAAAATATATGCACACTAATAAATCATACTTAATATGTTTGGTGAAATCTATATGGTCATTTTTCCTCAACAGAGCTGCAAATCTCCATTTTATGACATCCATGTATCATACATATTGGCAAAGCAGATGAAATTTAGTAAGTAAGGAGTTCGACTTTCGGCCTCAGGTTCATACTCTGATTCACTTACTTCAATTTGAGCAACAGAGTAGTATCATTGACCCCTAAAAATTGGGTGTGGCACATACCAAAGTACTTGATGAATAAGTTAATTATTATCTATTTTGACAAGAGCTTCCTTATAAACATTTGAATCTACACATATCAAAATACTTAGAAAGCTACTGCCCTCGACTAGGTTCAATAAATAATAATGACAATCGTACCTAAACCTTTGTGTCTTTAATATTCGAAAGGCGAGCTGTTAACAACTGCATCATAAAGAAATATTGATCACATTACGTTTCTCGAAAAAAACTGGACTGATATAGCTTATAACAATCATATATATTATTCAAAAGATGTATAATCACATCAAAGATCCGAGTTGTAAAAAATATGACGAAAGAAAATTTGAGATATATAAGTAGCTAACCGAGAAAAAGGATGAGTGATTAGATACCTATAGTGGTGAGAATAACGCGAAGACAGTGGATTTTAACGTTAGTTTTTAACGCTGACATTATATGAGCTAATTACAACGTAGGTAACTAATACATCCCGTGATGAGATAACGAGACAATACAGAAATATTAGGAAAACTTAAGCTTATATATATATAAAGTATCCAACCTTTACGTTTAGTCACAAACCCGTCCGTAATGCGAAACTATAAATAATAAGCTTTGTAAAATAAATTTTGTAAGCTATGAGATAAAATAAATTATTTAACAGTTTATGAGACCAACCTCTAGTTTCATCTTTAAGTCGCTGGACAGTTACCATTAGATCCTCCTTTTCGTCTAATTCGTTCTCCAAAAATGCATTTCTCTCAATAGCCTGTGTAACCAAGCATGTATGAGGAGCATATTTTTACCTGGTTTAGGCGGGATTCAAAATCTTCTAATGTAACAACTGTCGCTCTGTAATAAGAGTACTTGGAACGTCAAACGTGTAAACTACCTTTTAGAACGTTCTAAGTCGTCATTTAACTGTTCCAGTTCCCGGATATATTTGTGCATTTTCTCTCGATCTAACTTCGACTTCTCTAATTCATCTTGAAGTCTAGTTATTTCGTGGTTAACATATTCTTGACTATTTTCCGCCTTATGCTACAAATAGCAAGAACCGAAAATATCAATCCCATTATCCAGAACAGCTGTCTCAAAATATCATTGTTTTTTGCACTTACACGGTAAGTATCTTTTTCGACAGTTAGCTTTTCGCACAATACAACTAGCTCTGAATTGCGCTTTTCTAATTGTTCCAATTGAGTTTCAAGCTCTAGTTCCAATTCTCGTGAACTAATCTGGAAGTCTTCCAGCTCCTCTCGCGCTTCCTCCATACTATTAATCATCGTAGGAATACAAACACTGAAATAAGCTTACCCGCTACGGTACTCTTCAGCCTTTTGTCGCCAATATTTGGCTTCATTACTAGGATCATCAAAAACAGGGTTCTCCATAAGGACACGTTATCTAACGGGAAACAAAAATACAAGTTGAGGTATTGGCAAAAATTATCATTATTCTTAGATTAAAACGCAAATATCTGCAACATCGAAAAGTCGTGGTGAAAAATAACAAGCCACTAGTGTTTGAGAAAAAACTAAGGACGTGAAACTGACAAATATTTGTATAAGAAGTCTAATGGGAATTTTTTCGGAGAGACTATAATTTAAGGACGAACTAATCACGTATAAGATAATAGGTCTTGGATTGTTGCGTGAAATCCACTTATTCATTCGGATAAACGGAGTTTTGGCATTATAACTGATGTCAGTTTGCGGTGAAAGCCCTAAATCTAATTTTTAACGCTAATCATCAACTGCAAATCATAATTCCAATTTTTTACACAGGTTTATAACCCTAATTTGGTCCTGGTTATTAGGTGGACACCCAAGGTCAATCTGGCGTCGCTCAAAGGTCGTCCTTAAATTACAGCTTCACTGAAAACCGCCTAAACTAAGTAAGGCATTTTACTGGAAATTTTTCAGCAGATTTCTATATACTGTAACTTGGTATGGCCAATGGCAAATTGCCTCATAGCCATTGTCAGTGGGTTACTGAACCCATTTAGATATAAAACTAGACTGGAAACATATCTGTAGCGTGAATAAGTTTAAAAGCACTCACAAACTTCGAGAATAACTGGGTTTCATCAAAATTTGTTTGTTATTGACATAAATATTATCCTTAAGAGGACTGAGGTAAAGAAGTACGCAGTACAGTACTACGTTCTGTAACAAGCCTGAACCTGATAGTATAACATCTTATGGACGGAGTAACCAATAAGTACCTATGACTTGTGAGTAAGGTTTATTGGCTCATACTTTCAGAGAATGATTTCGCACTATAGTTTGTCTTTATTTAAAATTGAAACCGAGAAAACCCCTATTATTTACCCTACATAACCAACCTTTACCAGGTAGAAAGTAGTGTTTGGATTCCTTTAAATTTTAGCAGACAAACAACAGGTGTCAACTATAAATATTTCGTATGTCATTACCCTTTTATTTATATACAGAGTAACCAGTAAAAGATATTAAATTACATAAAAACATAGAATCACATCAAATCGTGCAACGTAGTCTTTTCCGTAAAAGACCCATTTTACTGACTGATAACTCCTAAGGTATTTTTCATGGTTGCTTGAAGGCTACAATCACATAGAAAATAGGTGACTTAAACTGAAAGAAAATTCAACGGTACTCACTAATTTACAAAACGCGCGCCTTGGAGAAAGACTGTTATAAAATCCGTAATGCATAAAAAGCAATATGAAATTATTAGAAACAAATAGCTCATATTAACTACAGAATTATCACATGAGAGAAAAAGCTAAGGTGAATGTAAAATTGTCTCGTTTTTTATTGAAAGCGCAGACGATACTACAATCACGACTAGGTAAAAACATCTTAAAAATAAATATAAATTTTTTCATTTACTTTTGAATGCACTTGTTATGCTTTTGACTTTCTGAATATATTTAAAGGTCAATCTGACATAGACGAGGCACTAAATCATCAAACCTAGCACAAAATACGTTTCGCGAATTTCATAGTTGGTAAAATATGTTAATTCAACAGACAAGGAGAAACATTTGAATACGACTACCGCGCTGTATCGAAGCTACAGGTAATGCAGTTCACTCATTTATTTCTGTAGTCTCTGCGACAGTAAATATTGGTTTGTTATCATCCTCTGTTTGATGGGAAATATTTTATGGCAAGAAGAGTATCTGGATGTTGTTATTTATCATAATATACTGTAAAACGCTTCAAGAGATCATATATATTAGACGACCTGTTTGTAAGAATTTTCAACTTACGATTGCTTTAAACTGTGTTATGTGTAATCTGTCGTTTTTTCACTCTTGCGAGATAAATAATTGTAATACTAATCGTCTATTAATTCTTGTATAATGACCGTGTATAACATATCCGTTACAACATACTTAACTCTAATAATAGGTACTAGCCAATTCCATATCACCTTAGCACGACTTTTGAGCTGAACAAAACGAGTGCTCGCACATTATCAACTTGTGATACTTTTATCTATATTTCAATTAATCCGATTAAGTAGCATTCAAGATTTTTCAACACCTGGAAGTTCAATGATTCTAGATATTTACAGAAATAAACAAATTGATGTATTTGTCAAATTCCACGAAATACTGTTTCTCAAGTGGACGTCGAGAGGACTTCTACTCCGATCCCTTTGCTTCGTTGCCTGTCTACCTCTTTATCTAGTAATCATATTCCATTATTAATACTGACACGTTGATTAGCTGACACCCAGGACAGTTCGAATCAATTTGAAATTAATGCAGGTTAGATCAGTCTAGTTCAGTCCTGGATTTATTGTACTGTGATAAAATTGTTGAATATCCCTTCTGTTTCATTACAATTTCTAACAACTCTAAGTCGAATGAATTTCCGTTAAAGTATTATCAAGAGTAACTCCCTTATTCGCAAAATGTTTTGAAATCTGTGCTTTTACTGTTTCGACAGTATTTCTGTTTGTTATATTTTTTAACCTGTTATACTAGCAGTGCTACTCAGATGCAGCGGCTACCATATGTTATTGTTGTGGTAAAAGCGGCTAAAAATTGTATTGACAAGCTCAACTCTGTTGGCATTATCCAGGGTGAATCTGTTGATACTTGTTCTATCGACACACAAGTCTACATGCAGTCACCTCAAGTTAAAGTAAAAATGACAGTCACACAAATCGAGGGAATAGAATCAGACTACAAGGTGGTCTTTCAGAAATAAGAGACCAATAAAGAAAATAACAAAAACGATTTCTTCTGTGCATCGCCCTCTGAATAGCGGCATTCAATAAACGCCCAGCAAACTCAATTGCATGAAAAGGTATATTTCAAGCAAGAAATATAACAAAAACATGACGTGATCATCAAAATTGTCCAACATTTTTCAGGCTATGAAATTGGATGTGACTCAATGCTGAATGCAATCCCTGAGAAAACCGAATAATGGGAAAAGGTCAGTGTAAGAAATGGCCACCAATCTCGAGAGAACAACCAGATCCCTAAATCGTAGTTATGAAATCGAAGGTTGGTCAAAGTTAGAAGTCAGTATTTTTGTAAGATTTAGATCTAACCTAATAACAATGGATTTATGTATGCTACCAGAGTAACATATTCAATCCAATATTGTGAATTTTCCGTTATAAGACTACCTGATCTCTAAAATCTCAGGTTGAAGCTAAGTCACTGTCTATGTTCACTCGTCCTATCATCACATTCAATAATTTTCCTCCCAAAAATAATTGCAGAAAAAATTAATGTTGGTTCTAGTAACTAACTTTGGGCATGGTAGTAGGTTCATAAGAATGTCTAATTAACCAAGTAGTGTCTCACCTTGATAATGGTTTAAATATTATTTATGAAACTGGGATATTAATGGAATTTAGTACTGCAAAATGTGTATCCACTAAAAGGAATCAGGGTTCTTCAATCAGAAAGACTTGTCGCTCGTGAACTGTTTGGATAAGCAAGAAGCTGAAAAAGAACTGAAACTAGGATTGGATGCTCCTGAAGAGAACCTTAGAAATGCACACGTTCGGGCGTTGAGTTATCGATTATGCCGAAGACATTTTAGGTACAGTATGAAACCACTAAAATAATCTTTGAATCTGTTACATGAATTCCTGGCACTTGATGAACATGCGGTTGAGGCTTAGTGTACAAACAAACTCTACTAAATCAGATGCAATTGTCGTCACAGAAGCCTGGCTCACCCGGTTTTTTAGGCAATGGGGAACTTGATTTTGAAAAGTCCGCATTAGTGGGAACTGATATAAATCGGAGGTGTAAACGAAGAGCACTTTTATTCATTAGAAGAACTAATCCTTCACTGTTACCGGAAATATATTTCAGAGAATTCAAATGTACGAATTATTCAGTTGGCGCTTGAAATGAGAGGCACAGGAGTTACTGACCAGTTTGATGTACGGTAGTACGAACCATGAGTTGGTTGAGGTTCCTTCAAACGGATCCATCACTTGGTGAATATTCAATCTTAAGAGACTTTAATACACCCTCAGTAGATTGTAAAAATCCATGGACTAAATTGTCGGGAAATCCTGTCCAACTAAAACTGGTTGACGCAGTTATCTAATGTGAGCAGATGAAAAGAATAAAAAGTCAACTGCTTATGGAATGAGTACTTTTCAGTGGACCCCATATTGACCCAACATGTGGACGACATGAGAAACCTCGACTATATGCCAACACTGGGCAAAAGTGATCATGAAGCCCTAGCCTTTCATTTCCAGACCATTGCGAACAATGGTATGTCAACTTGAGCTCAATTAAATGGTTGGAATCGAGATATACAGGAAACGAAACACAGAGTTCTAAGCAGATTTCTCTGTAGGACTACAATTCCACAGGGAAACGAATTGAGAGGTTTTTAAAGATTTGTATATAATCATTAAAACACTTTTTTAATATTCTATACTGTGGAGTCCAAGAAACTCCTCACTATGGTTCAGTAAGTAGGTCCGTACTTTTCTCCGTAAAAGGAAACGAAAGTATGGGGGATTTAGATTGTCGAGTATAGATGAAATAAAATCTCACTACTGGAATGCCCGAAATGTTTGTCTCAACTCTTCGCAGGTATCTAGGAAAATGTGAAGAAAACCTTGTTAATAAGTATGTAGAATACATAGAACGCTCATTTTCGTATATTATACGGTACTGTGTAGCCAGCAGAGAACAACTTTGGTAGAGCTCAGGTGTCTTTGGACTACATTGGCATTGTGTATGCCACAGAAAAACCTGTAGAATTATGGTCTAGTTCAACGTTGTTACACTCATCTTTGCTACTATAAAAATAGACTTAGCCACAAAACTACAGATTTGTCATGATGTGACTACCTAATCCAGCTGTCATATTTCCGCTCTGAGGGTCGCGTTGTTAGAATCACTACCACCACGATTCCTTTCCTTTTAGTGTGAATCCCACCATCCACACTTGAAACGGTGCAGCCATTAAAGTAGGCTGAAGATGATAGGGTGAAGAACATTAGTGAGTTATTCCTTTTACTTCATAGATTTGTCTAAACACGCCATTATCTGTCATTAAAGTCTCTGTGACATCGAAACAGTTGAGCAAACTCAACATCTTTTTGATCGTCTCCCCGACTATATAGTTCAGCATATTATATACTTCCGACTTCTTTATAAATACATACGCAATAACTAGAACCATGATTCTTATGCTGGACCCACAAAATTTCCATAAAGTCCCTCCCAGGATCCAGTAGGCGTATACCGTAGGATTTACATTTCAAAGAGTTTTTAACTGGTTGAAGACAAGCTGAACAGTTACGACATTTGTCCCCCATATCTCTATCCACTGAAGGCCAACATATGCGACTTCAGGTCAACGGTTTCATCTTATTGATCACAGGGTGAAGTTGTTCGAAAATGTTTTGACTCAGCAATTCTGGAACAACTATCCGGTTGTTGAACGCGATACGTGAGTGATTAACTATCAGTAAATCACATCAATGAACGTTTTCCAACAACTCTCCTCGAAAGTGGTGTTCTGGCCATCTGGTGAGATGCCTCCTAACTTCTCTTAATCTTGTCATTTTAGGTGCTTTAATTGATAGCTACGAAGGTAGCCGATAGTCCATCAACTGAATCATCAAACACGTGACTAACTTCTTTGGTTCTTGCGTTTGTCATGAGAGTGTCTTCTAAAGTTTTGGTCCGGGAACCTAACGATTTCGATAAGGTGTCAGCTTGTTTAAAAACTGTAGTGAACTGGCACTTGATCTTGAAATCGCAGTCCAAAGCGTGGTTATCCATCCTTTCATTCAGGTAGCCACGTAAACATCACTCTCCTTTAATCGACCCAAATACGACTAGTAATGGTTTATTGTCCGTTAAAGGGCAATTTTTCAACCAAGTATCATCTTGCGGAACATTTTTACTACAGAGATAGTTGACAGGGCTGCTTTCTCAATTAGACTTTAGTTGATTTCCATCGTTGTTATCGACCTGGCAGCATGGAAGATCGCTTTTTCAGATTAATCTGGAAGAATATGAGGGATGACTGCCCCAGTGCCATAATTTTAAGCATCTAAAGCAACCAAAGTATGTAAAGTAGGATCATAATGTATAAGAGGTTGGAAACTTGGAGATGCTTGATCTTTTCGAAAGCTGCTTGACA